CTGTCTATGGTTTATGGCCACGTCAAACAGCAGAACCACAATTTCGCCTTTGAAAAGGCAAGGGTAATCAGCCGAGCCAATGATAAGATGGCCAGACTGGTGCTCAAAAGTTGGTCCTCGACTGGCACACTCAACAGAGCACAAGATCTGCATCCCGCCTATCAGGCGCTACGCACAAGGCTCGAGTCAGTGCGGACAAGTCCATCAGGACAGTCGAGCGAAGTGACGCGTGGCCGACAGCCTATGTCAGCAGAAAGTGGGAGAGAAGCCGGCCGGGGATCATGTGACCAGCATGCGACGCCATCTCACCGCAAAGCCCACGAGGCTGAGATCAACTCACATGAGCCCCAACAACTGATCAGTCCGTTGAGTGACGAGAGGGAGGCCGACAAACATGCTGGCTCGCCAACAATTACGACGGCCGAAAAGGGCGCATTAGTGGCAGGAGCCCACCGGCGGTCAATCGTGGAGAGGTCAACGCTAATCGGCGGCGAACGGGCAGGTCAAAGTTCGTGCCTCGCGCACGGATATAATACCAGGCAGGTATCAAGGCTGACGCAATCAAGACCAGCGGGAACAGTCAACGCATTACTCTGATGATGGAAACGAGGGGGTTTCCGAAACGTCAGTAAAAATATAACTCGGTCCATGAATTCGCCCCATCTTCTTATTCGTCTTCTTCGGGGGATGATGAACGCGAGACCTAAATCTGTAGATCTGCCCTTCAAAAATTAAAGCAATTATTCAGCTTGGGTCAGCATCTCAATTGACGTCGTACATTCTTGACAATTCAGGTTTTCAACGTACAGCACTGGGCTCCCTCTCTCTGAGCAAGTGCCTTTCAGCGAAAGGACACAATCACACGCTGACGTCTAGAGCTCAACTCCCAGCTCCTCCTCAGACCCGGCAACACAGAGAGGATAAGCAAACGTACAGAGGATTGCCGTATACATAACATGAAGCTGATTTCCAGATGTCTTTCTGGTAAAAGTAGCAGGATGCACGCTTTCCGCACAGGTTCCCACATGTTTCGCTGATTTTTGACTGCCGCACTAGTGTCCCTAGTGACTCGGATAGTTGACACGTCATATGCAGGCTTCACCGGACCGCTTTTCGCATGATCAACTACACCGACCAAAAATAGTAAGCAGGTTTCCATACGAAGGTAAGTATATTGTAGCAAGCATATAGGTATTACCAATATTATAAAACGTTCTCATCTATAATTTTCCGTCTTTTTAAGCACTAATTTATGAATATAGGGATTATCTCCAAGGCGTTTTCTGACGAAAGGGGCTCACTTGCACGTAATCTATGTAGCGTCTTTGCTCACAGAAGGTGTGTTTATTGTGCCTGAACTGTCCTTAGTGGAAGACTAACATGAAAGGCATACCAGTGCATGGAAAATTTCCTATTTGGAGGCGACACGGTGGAAGGCAGGTCAAAACTTGTCTTGGTTCAGTTAGTCAATAAACAGAGATAGCTACTGCATCTCCGCTTCATCCCCGACTCCTGAATGTTGGCCCGCAATGGCAAATACCTCCGAGCAGTGATCGTGGACTTCCAGCGCTGGACCAGACGTCTCACCCTCCGGACAGGCTGCAAGGGATTCTGAACGAGGCGACGTTTCTGACTCCAAGTCCACGGCAGGATTCTCAGTGGGGGGATTTTGACGTAAATTGCTTGAGTTAATGGACCTATAGGAAGGCAGCAGCAGCAGAGAAGTCGTATTTTAATAGACGAACCAATAGTTAAATGTATATTTTCTCCAGAATTTGCGCAGCCTGATGCATTCATTTAAGAAGAGACTCTTTTCACATGGTGTGATGCAAAAATACCTTTGGGGCGAAATTAAAATGTCGCAAATCGATTGATTCAAACTACACTAAATTTCATTTGGCTTTAGAGCTCAAAGCTGGCGTTGTCGAATGCGGTTGACTAAGGAGCTGATATGGTAGACTGGCTGCCTAATCTGAACTTACTGAGAAATCAGTCTAGAATCTGCCAGCTGACTGCTGACTACCACGCTCATTTCACCAATAGGTGTTCTTATTCCACAGAGATCGCCAAATTTCGCGCATGTGAGTCAAAAGGCATATGTAAATCCGTCAAAAATAATTATTAATAAAGTTAGTCTGGCTTTTGGATAGTGGATTCTAGATTGACTGCTTAGAAACTCCAGCTTGGGCGGGTAGCTTACTGTATCAGGATTGGTGAATTCCATGGGTCACATTAAGCTAGATGTGTAGCACTTGAAGTAACTCACGGTTCCCAGTCAGAGCTACGTAGCTCGGGCGGTGAAATAGTTGGCTGAACATATGCCTCGACCTTGCCGCTGTGGGTTCGAATCCCACCATCGGTCTCATTCTTTATTATTTCATCAAGCAGCAGTGGCAGGTACGACTCAAAATAACTAGAGATGAAGATGTCGGGTGCAGGGACTAGCATGCTTGGCGGATTCCGTGGAGCGCTTTCGGCAGAGCAGCAAAATAAATTCTGACTCTCAAGGTCGTTCCCGCTTTCCCCTATCGCCCTGCCATTAATTTTTTAATATTCTGCTAAATATGCGTTAAAGTTAAAATTTTCTGTTAATGTGGTTATTCGTGTTCCCTCGATTTGTTTCGCGTTTTTTCTTTCGACCAAATATGAACACAATGCAAAACAACCTCACTAACCTCGTCATCTAAAATCCTAGAACTGTGACATTTCTCTAGAATTTAAACTGTCTTGCGAATTTTATTATTTTAAGGACAAAAACCACTTATTCGCCTGCGGTTAATTTGATCAGTCTGTTTGGTATTTGATGAGTGTACGCTAAGCAAATTATGGCAGGTTGCTAACGCCTCTCTTGGACTAATAACAGATGTTCAACCTGTTGTAGAACATGACTCAAATGTGACAAAGATAGATGAGTCCTAAAACTCAAAAAAAAACAAAATTCCTTGTAGCCATATTGTATATGTTCGCCATAGTGGGTCAGAGGCTTACACAGTGCCTGCAGATCCTGGTTTTCTGTCGAGAGAGACGGTGATCTGTGTCTCGTTTATTTGGTGCGGCTGTGACTCAAGCACCCTTTTTGGCGAATCAGAGTCACGGAAGTCAACAAAACCACGACCGGTGAATTGACCTTCCTCTAGCACGCCTACATCCACGACAATTCCAAATTTGGAGAAGTACTTGTGCAGACTGCACTCGTTTATCCATTTAGGCAGAGATCCAAGGTAGATTTTGTTGGGGTCCACGTTCTGACTCAGTTCCTTCCCAGAACTAGGTTTAAAAGGACAAAAATGTCAAGGTTACACACTGGTCGATATGTCGGCCACATTTTTCGTGGTCTAGGACAGACGTGCTTGCAAAATACATTCTACAAACTCGGAGTATAAGAAAGGACTACCCGCTAGCGTCATTAATATATATCCTATCTGAATTGTCATGTCGTGATGAATATTTTAATTTTATGCTCTGGTTTAGAGACTGCTGCCTCCCCTACGTTCTGATATTAGAATTAGTCGGTTAAAGAAGTTCCTTTGTGACACTGAATGTTACCATTTACAGTCAACAGGACGCAAGCCTTTAGCTCAACTGAAGGAGTAAGCTTCTATTTTTTTCTGCGCTGAATTGGCATGTGGCTTACAGGTGACGGAATAGCACAATCGCTCAACAGGCTTTCGATTTTCTCTTGTCATCCTTGCATTTTGGCGTCCCAGCACGCCATCAGGGAATGTTCCCCCTGGCTGGCATACACATTCACATTCGAAAATGGTCTCTTTCCTGTCGGGCCTTCTAGAAGGCCAAAATTTTATGGCACAAATAATTCCCTTATCTTCACATTTCTTTGGCCGGACACATGTTTGTTCACGAAAATCACAGATCTTCTAGGCTATTTACCACAACATTTGGCCGCAGTGATTGACAAGTTTGCACCATGGCCAATCGCAACTCACATCCCGAATGTAAGTGTGGTTAATATTGGTAGTGAATTCCTGATCACTGGATATTCCACTAATGGGTTCCCTGGACAATAACCAACATCGGAGCCACCATTGTGAATGTTGACTGTCATATAGCCTAACTAACTGTCGTCTTTATTCCCACACATTCAGGTTAGCATACCAGCCATCATACAACTATCTGCAGTAGGTGGGTAAACTCAAGAAATGTCAACAGAATTTCCAAAATGCCCTTCCGTTTCGAAAAGATTAATTAAACATTGCTATATAACTAACAATTATGCAGCAGAATTCTATAATAATAATTCAGTTACCACAGGAAGCTGGCTTTTGAACAAAAGTCTCTCTGGCTGCATCCAAATCCATACTGCTTAAAAAATGGCTACTTAAGTAAAATGCATTTTTCATTGATTTTCGATGTCCTTGAAGATTTAATTATATTTCTTAGAAAACATGCATAAATATTTTAATTGTTTGCTCATTCGGTAGAAAATTACGTCTTCTTTCTGCTTTACGCTCGACGGAAGTGTATTATTCGATTTAAGGTTCCACTTGTGAGAACATTTTATATGGTGTAATGGCCCTTCATAAAACGTCATGTCTTTGCATTTACCAATATGGCTTACAAAGCTAAGGATGTGGCTCAAATTCCCTGTTTAATTTTATGAACCCTATACTGTCCCCCTCTATTACCCTAGAGAAATGCATGGTTTTGCGTACGCGGAATTTATACGGCTTGTAGTTTGGGAACCCTCGATGCATGTGTAACGGTGGGGTTGGTCCAGAAATATTTGGAAATCGGCAAAGTTTTATAAAACCAAATTACACCCTTCCTTTGACTGTAAATTTAGAAGAAGCCGTAGTTTTCTACTGAATGAGCAAAAGAATGAAAATTTTTGTGCATTTTATATGAAATATAACTGAATCACTTAGATCATCAAAAATTAATCAAAAAATACATGTTACGTAAAAAGTCATTTTTTAAGAAGTACGGTTTCAGGATGCAGCCAGAAAGAAGTTTGTTTGAAAGCTGGAGTCCTGTAATAACTGAATTATTATAGAATAATGCCGCATAATTATTAGTTTTACAACCCTACTTAATTAATCTTTTCGAAATGGAAAGGCATTTCGGAATTTCTCTTGATATTCCTTGAGTTAACCCACCTGCTCTAGATAGTTGTATGAGGGCTGGTATGCTAACTTAACTGTGTGGGAATAACGACGACAGTTAGTTAGGCTATATGACAGGCTACATTCATGTTTTGTTTAATTTCCGAGGAAATTAATGCGCGAACGTGGAGTAAATCTTTCGAAACAGACCTTTTCAGGCACGGTCCGAAGTTTGACATGAATATTTGAGCTGAAATCCATCAGCAACTGCGGAAAAACCGCTTTATATTCACAAACATCCAACAGGCAGCCAGTAGTATAGGATTGTGCAGTGATTAACCGTACAAACAACGCAGTATACATTCGCAATGGTTGCTCTGAAAATTGTTAATTATATGGCAAAAAGTGTTTTGTTGGGTCGGAAATTGTATGCGCAAACATGTATATATAGATTGGGCGCCACGTGCTGCCACTTACGTGTGGCTTAAGAATAACTTCTTGTCATACCACATACCCCGACAGGCCAACACTCTGTGCACGATACGGGCATCCAGAGCCACATCACCAGAGCCGGTTAAAACTGACAATCATGCTTATCTTCCTACCATTCCGCCGCTACGTTTAAGCACTTCGCGTGGTGTTCATCTAGAGGTTTTTCCACATGTAGATAGAAAATGCATCTTTTCTTGTCGGTGGGACTTAATAAAACAAAAATGCCCAGAATCGTCTCAGCACATGACTTCCCTTCCTCCATTCAAGAACCCCTCCTCCCCTCATATCCTTCTGTGCACTATGAATCTACAAAATTCTTGCATCCTGCCATTCACACCTTCTAGAATTGAGGTGCTCCATTAATTATGTGATTGTAAAAAAAAAACAGGACAAGTGGAAATGGTTTTAGAGTTGCCCTAATTTGGAGACGAAAATATGTTTACAACAGGCACCGTTATTGTGGTCAGTTCCATTGTGACGACACTTTGAGGCGTCTCTACAAGTTATGCACTATGCCTCAGGTGTTGATGAATTCATTTTGTAAATGCCGTCAAGTGCGGACGAGTTCTGAAATACAGAAGAATCAACTCTCACTTGTCCAATTCACAAATCCTTCTATTTGTAGATCAAATGCTTACCCGGTGTCTGTAGATCTAGGTTCCTCGGTGCGAGATACGGTAATTTGTCTTTTGTTTAATTTGTGTGGCTGGGACTCAATCACCTTCGTTGCCGATTCAAGGTCACGGAAGACAATAAAACCACGATCGAGTCGTTTAAACCTTTCCACCAATCCGACGTCCTTGACAACGCCAAATTTGGAGAAGTACTCACGCAGATCGCTTTCCGTTACCGCTTGGGGCAGGGATTCAATGTTAATTCTGTTTGTGTCCGAATTCTGTTTCACTTCCTTTTTAGATCTAGGTTAAATAAGCGGAGATCTTGAAGTAAGACATTTTCGAAATGTCTAGGTGTCGAACTTTTGAAGTCCTGGTTTGCTACAAGGAAGCGAGTTATATCAAAAATTCGAAAATGGAAACGCCAAACATCTTTAGAAATGTTTTCCGAAGCCGGACAGATAAATGACATGTATAGTAGTCAGTCTATTCTTAATTATGCTAGAAAATATTGGTGCGATCTCAGTTTCTGATGGAGACAATGCTAATGGCAACATCCACATTCAATGGAGCTGGGTGGATATTCAAATAACAAAATTGACGCTACAGAAACACAGCCAGTACCATGATAACAATAATAAACCTTTGGAACAGAGCGCTAAGACGATATCGGTCTGGTGACATTATGATGTGTGCGGGTATACTGGACCAACTTGTGCTGAAAAGCTCCATTGGATGTGCATATGACGCTATCTGCAGGCGAAGAAGTCAAAACCCCGACCACTCCGTTGAAAAAAAAGATCTTTCTTAGGTCCAGCCTGGCGCCAGTCACACGTGTTTTGAGTGGATGTCCACGGGGTTTCGTTGTGGTTGCTAACTCAAAGAAGTCAGCAGGTAAAAGACAGCAGTCCTGACCGCGCATAATAAGCAGTGTGTGTATCAGGTGGCCTCTTAGTTGCCTGTAACTCAGAGGAAAAAGGCCGAGATTGGATAACCGTGTTTTATAGGGTAGTGTGCCCTGTCCACTAACATGTTTGGTCGCCCATCTTTAAACTTTCTCAAGGATGTTGAGGTTTTTAGTGGTCCAGGGTTTCCGCGCTTGAATATCGAACTCCCACTTTTCCTTGTCACGCCGTGCAGCAAAGATGTCGAAACGGTTCTTATCGGAAGTTGGCCCTGAGCGGATACGAAAATTGACAGCCGAAGGGCTGCTGCGTGAGTCGTTAGCTAATGTTTTCAACATTAGTCAGGTGGCTCTTTGAAGAATTATTAATAATTAAACAGTGCCTAGAGCTTAGCAAGGTGGACCAAAACGGTCCACAAGCAAGCAAGACGACGATTTCATTCGTTAGAAACTGAAAAAGTACCATTATAGGCCCCGTAAGTCTCTTTGCAGGGGTCACCTCTCAGCGTTTTCTTCACGCATAGTTGGAAAAGGAATGGAAAAGTTCGGCCTCCATCTGCAAAACGCCGAGTCAAAGCCATGTTAAGTAGGAAACTTACTAGAGAGCGTTTTTTGCTAGCTCAAACTTATATTGATCGCAGACATTCATTTTGGAAAAGCATTTATCTTTGTGATGAGGTCCTATTTTTTCGAAAAGCCTCCGAAGTCAACCTAGGTGGTCATATGCGGGAAGAACTTCCCACGCGAGCACACTATATTGACGCCAACTTTCAAGAACTGTCGACGCCTGATGGTTCGGATGGCCATCAAGTTTGGAAAGTGACCAGTTTGGCGTTCAACCACGGAAACGTAAACAGCAAGGTCTTCATCAACATCGTAACAGATGTCTCCGGCTTCAACGGGCCTGAATCCCATCGAAAACCTTTTTGCATTAATTAAAAGAAAGTGGGGCAAGGCAAGAACACATATTTCTCGAGTTCCCCTACCTTACACTCAACGTACTGCCCTTATTTCATTCGAACCAAAGATCGTTGGACGCAAAGCGGTTATCTGCACGCTCTGTTCGCCGCCAACTATTTTGCCAAGGCAAAGTCTCAGTGCCGAATATAAAGAGGAGGAGTCTTTGCGCCTGTTGAGTGATTAAGAACTAAAAAACGTTGGCTCGAGCAGTTCACGGCCCACACGGTTTTCGCTTGTAAAAAGCATTTCTGTTATATCAAACGGGAATGAGCGGTTGTGTTCTGTCGAATGAGCCTCAACCTGGAAGTCGACATCGTTCCACCTCACTGCTACCGCGTACTCAAATATCCGTGTTCGGAGTAGTCTTCCGGTTTGCCCGAGATTGTTGCTGCGCCTACAACCTCCCCTGACCCGAAAAGCGACTCGAGATGGTTTTTGCCGTGTTAGTGGATCTTTCGGCCGCACGATCTGGCGCCTTATGGTTGCCTCCGGTCCGTGTGCAACTCCAATTCCAAGGGGCGTAGGAAGGCGACTGACGTATTTCGAGACACTCTTCACGTACGGCAAAGGTTGCCAAAAGCTATCTGACTCTGTCTTTGATGATTGATTTGAGTGAAAATCCGAAACGTCAGGCCAATAAAGGGGAGATGTATTAGATCGTGCGGGGAATTCACCTGTGGTCTTCAAAGACAAATCGGGGAGCAGGGAATGTATGGACCGACATTTTGGATTTCCATTTGCTTACACGCGCCGATTAAGTAGTGCGCAATCTGACTTGCCTTCCATTAATCTTACCTATTCTTTTCTGTCTGGTACGCAACGCAGGATGCCCGAGGACGGCTAAAGTTCGGCTCAGTCTTTTAAACCATCAATTGCGATTGGCGTCAAAGGAAGGGCTGACTTACCCACAGGGTAATAATCGGCCTCCAACCTACTAAGTTTTCCATGTTGATTTGACAAATATGTCCATGCGTTTCCACTTTATTTTCTGGAATTCGACCTAAATTTGTTCCCACAATGAAGATTTGATGTAAAAATGATACACGTTAAAAATTTCGAAAATCAGTAGTAGTTCAACAGTCAGAATTACCCTTCAATTACAAGATTTAAGTCTGCTCAGAACACGCTAATAATATACAAATGATACAGAGCAACGCTAAGAGATCCCTGTTTCTTACGAAATGAAGGCTGGTCAGGAGATGTACAGATGTGGAGGGCTGAACGCGGTTATATGTACTTCAAACATACTACAGGCGACTTTGCGCCAAATTACAAAAGAGGGAACATATTCCCACGTCTTAGCATTAACCCTAAGTCAAACTCCTACTCTGGAGGAGGAGGAGGAGGAGGAGGAGGAGGAGCAGGAGCAGGAGCAGGAGGAGCAGGAGAGGGGGAGGGGGTTGGGAGGAGGAAGAAGAAGAAGAAGAAGAAGAGGAGGGAGAAGAGGAAGAGGAGGAGCAAAATGAACACGCTGCACCTAGTCATTTCTTTCAGTGTGTGAAGTAGGGCAGATCCATCTGTCAGGCAAGGCGACGGTGCCCTAAGCGGTTTCTTCGCGGACTTATTTATATAAAGCAGTAGACCTACAGTGAGTGACCGATCTCATGAAATGTTGGCTGAAATTCTGAAATGCGTTTTCGATCAGGAAGGATTACTTGGTCGCGGTTTTAATGCTGATTATTTTAAGGCATACTCTTATAACATTTCGGACTTGGAAAGATGTCGGCTTTTAAATTCACTTCTTTTAAATCTACTGTAGAAAGTGTGCTCGGGAAAAAATGACTGATTAAGTAGCATGCATTTTTCCTATTGATTTTTGATGGTCTTGCAAATTCAAATATATTTTATAGAAATCATAAACAAAAATAGGCTTTTTTTTAGTCACTCAATAGAGCATCACGTCTTCTTTATATTTTTTACTTAAGAAAGGAGTATAAGTAGGTTTTAAAAAAGTTTTCTAATTGCCAAAAAATTTGGAGCCTGATCATTCGTTGAATTAGCGCTTAGTGATTACACTCTACAAGGTGCATGCGTTCCGCGTAAAGAAAATCCCATATTTTCCTATGTCATTAAGCAGATATCATACAGGGTCCATAAAATTTTGCAATGGATGCGGACAATGTTGTACATTTCATGAGGAGCAGTGGTAAATAGCCAGGTACGATGCTATGTGAATGGATATATCGCGGTCTTAAAAAGTCTCATAATTAGAAACTTTTTTTAAAACCTAATTATACTCCTTTCTTAAGTATAAAATATAAAGAAGACGTGATCCTCTATTGATTGACTAAAAGAAAGCATATTTTTGTTTATGGTTTCTATAAAATATATTTGAATTTGCAAGGCCATCTAAAATCAAGAATAAAAATGCATGCTAATTAAGTAATAATTTTTTACCGAGCACGCTTTCCACAGGAGATTGAAAAGAAGTGCATTTAAACGCCGACATCCTGCCGAGTCAGAAGTGTTATAAGAGTGTGCCTTAAGATAATCAGTATTAAAACCGCGACCAAGTAATCCTTCCTGATCGAAAACGCATTTCAGAATTTCAGCCAACATTTCATGAGATAGGTCACTCACTGTACGTATTTGGGAACACAGTTATTTATTATTGAAACAAATAGGTGTGGAATTTCATTAGGCATAGCCGGACTGCAGTTATTTAGCAGCGCCATCGTCCCCCTCCCCCCCCCCATAAACTGTCGTTTGTTAACATAAGAGACGAGTAGGTATTTGAATTGCCTCGGAAAAATAGATTCCTTCGAAGCACTTTTGGATAATCCACGCTGAAACTCTGCCAGCGTGCTGCTTTTCATGCCTTAGACGAAACTTGATCCCAATGATGCCAAGAGCAAATATAATCACTAGAACTCAATGAGTGGATGAGCAAAGAAAATATGGACTGCCTAGAGACGGGGAGAAGGAATTGCATATGAAAAAGGCAGAGGAATAGCAAAAGTTAGAGTATTCTGGTAGAAAACTCAACTGGACTCGCTGTTGGGTCCTGCAGGAAAGGTAATCACTACGGAGCATTGCCGGATCGACTTTGAGACGACGACCATGGAGGAAGTGGCAGGCCTCCAGAACGCCATCATTCATGGTCCCTGCGTCAGCGAAGGTGACGAACCCGAAGCCACGAGACACGCCTGTTTCCCTATCGGTTATTATTTTGGCCCGCCTTACTGTGCCAAATTTGGAGAAGTAGGCTTCGAGATCGGCTTCCGTGATGTCTCGTTTCAACTGACCAACATATATGGTTTGCTTGCTAAGGGTGACATCGTCATTGCTTCGCTCTTTGGCCGCAGTGTCAGGTGTGACATTCCTCATCTGATTATGGTTGGAAACACCGTGCTGGGCAGATCTTTGGAGTAGATGAGTAATCGAATGAACCTAAGGAGACGGGTTTTTAGAGACAGATCTATTTCAAGAGTAGACAGTATGGTTTTCAGGATATGAACTAGAGTTAATCTTTGGATAATGAAAGTACATTCACATTCACTGTCCCTCAGTTTCTGTCTCGCATCTATTTTATCTTTGGCAGCTGCCTGGCGCCTGATATGCTTGTGCTTGATCCACCCCGGCGAATGCGCGGGCTAAAATAATTATTTCTGGACTGCTGTAGCTCACGGACGTTTCTCGGTTTCCCTAGCAATTAATCTTATTCCGTGGAGGTAAGTGTTTTGCTAAATCTGCACTTTGTGTCCGGCGACTTAGTACAAGTGACCGTCTCTCACATCAGCCATGTGCAAGTGCCTTCATTTTATCATAACATGACCTGCTCTACTGCAGTAACTTAAGAAATAACTACCGAAGACCCTGCGGTTAAGTGTGGCAGACTGTTCGCTCTGCGTACAGGAAGCTATTTGGTTAAAATCGATGGCAGATCTGGACATCAGATGACTGAGAGTTGCACAGGTTCAAATCAAACTCTGCATGTTTTGGTGCCCTTGGCAAGATCGGTGTCCAAGGCATGGTGCAGATCCCTCTCGGTGAGCAGCTAGTAATGTTGTAGACAAGCCCTTATCCGTTCTCTCCGGATATTGATTGTGCATTGGTAGAGGGGCGCTCACCGAACGATTCCACGGAACTCACTCGTCTTGTTGTGCCTTAGGGCTATCTCTCTCGAGTCCAACCAGCAGCCGCACAGCGGCGCGTGATCTAAGCAGAATGGTATTACCAAAAAAGACAAGGGAGACTGGAATTGTCATTTCTGGCTTATGAGTCGTCGTCAGTCAGTCATACCCAACCTCGAATTGTGGAACATCTGGGGATCGAACTCGCGACCTGTTAGTTAGAAGTCCAACGCCTCTAAACACTGGGTCACGGGCCCGTTGTCCTGTCGGTTGCGATCGGGAATAAACAATGGTAGAGAGGGCGCTCACCGATCGTTTCTACGCGACGCACTCGTCCCGTTGTGGCTCAGTGGTTAGAGGCGTTGGACTCCTAACTAACAGGACGCAAGTACGAATTTCGGGTGTTCCAAACTTAGGGGTTGGTATGACTGGCTGACGACGGCTAATAAGCCAGAAATGGCAATTCCAGTCTCCCTTGTCTTTGTCGGTCGTACCATTCTGATTGTGGATTTCTGAGTTTTTGCTTGCCCATTTCTTACTGCGTTTGTATAACCGGACGTTCGTGCCATGGGGCGGTTCCTGTTGTTGGACGTGCGAATTCGAGA